AGTTAGTTAGTTAGGATCAGAGTTAGAGCCAACAGTTTTGGCTTTTTTTTTTTAATTAAAAGGCATTTCAACCAATACAATGTGTGGAGCACTTTGAGATCCTCAATGGAAGCAATTATAAAAAGATACTTTTAAATAGTGAAAAACCTAAGAGTTTCTGATACGTGGCATAAATACACTATCAACACTAAACATCAGAAGAGAAACTAAATGACTGGGACCTCATAAAAATTAAACACGTAGTACATCAAAAGATTTCACCAAAAGAGCAAAAGGAGACCCACAGAAGGGAAGAAAAAATTTAGCAATGACATACCAGAGAGAACTAATCTCTAAAATTTGTGTAAATCTTTAACACCTCAACAAGAAGAAAAATAATCCAAAAAAAAAAAAATTGGCAGGGGATATGAACAGACACCTCACCAAAGAACACATTTAAGAGACCAACAAATATATGAAAAAATGTATGCGATCATCAGCTATTGTTGTTGTTAAGTGGCATTGAGTCAGTACCAACTCATAGGGTTTCTGAGGAGAGGCTGGTGAATTTGAACCATCAACATTGCAGTTCAAAGCAACCCTGTGGTCCAGTGCCATACCAGGACTCTCATTAGCTATTGGTGGTGGTAGTAGTGTGCCGTAGTCAGTTGCAACTCATAGTGACCCTGCATAGGATTTCAGAGGCTATAAATCTTTATAGGAACAGAATGTCTCATCGTTCTCCCATGGAACAGCTAATAGTTTCAAACTGCTAGCCTTGAAGCTAGCAGCCCAACTAGTAACCACTATGAAATAGCTATTGTTATTGTTAAGTGCCAAGGAGTCAGTTCTGACTCATAGCAACCCTGTATAGGGTTTCTGAGGGGCATCTGGTGAGTTTAAACTACCATCCTTGCAGTTCAAACTGACCTTGAGGTTGAGTGCTTATCCAATGGCACCACAACAGGATTCCAAACATTAGCTATTATTGGTGGTGGCGGTTATGTGCCATGGAGTTGATGCCAACTCACAGCAACCCTGTATAGGGTTTCCAAAGGCTGTACACCTTAACAGGAGCAGAAAATCTCATCTTTCTCCCACGAAACAGCTGGTAGTTTCGAACTGACCTTACGGTTCGCAGCCCGATTCATTACCACTACATTAACTATTAAAGAGATGTGAATAAAAATAATGACTATCATCTCACACCAGCATTAATACAAAAGCTAAAAAAAAAAAAACAGAAAACAAGTGCTGGCAAGGGTGTGAAGAGACTGGAACACCCATACACTCATACACTGCTGGTGGGACTGTAAAATGGTGCAAGCAACAGTGGAAAATGGTATGGTATTTCTTTAAACGATCAGAAATAGAAAAAGTATGTTGTTCCTGCATTTAAATGCTGTTGAGTCAGTTCCAGCTTATAGCAACCTTGTATAGG